GGGGGACGGGGGGGGGGAGGGGAAGTTCTGCTCAGATACACAGGTAGGCAACAACAGGACTCTGCAGAGACAGGATGGTGCAGGGTCCAGGCTGAAGCGGGCAGAGGACCTGGCTAGGATCACCCCAAAGGGCTGTTGTAGTTTCTAGAAGGCATTTGTGTGTTTGTCATGGATGGACTAAAGCGACAGCTCCATCTCCTGCAGGACCATGCCAGCTCTCATCTCTAAGGGGGTGCCATGGAGGAAGTATGCAGGGTCAGCAGGGATCAGCTCCCTAGCTCCCCTCCAGAGTTACTCGACACAGAACCCCCGTGTCTCCCACAGGAGCCATGGATGCTGTGGAACTTGCCAGAAGGCTGCAAGAGGAGGCCACGTGTTCCATCTGCCTGGACTACTTCACGGACCCCGTGATGACCACCTGCGGCCACAACTTCTGCCGAGAGTGCATCCGGCTGAGCTGGGAGAAGGCAAGAGGCAAGAAGGGGAGGCGGCGGCAGAAGGATGCGTTCCCCTGTCCTGAGTGCAGGGAGTTGTTCCCACAGAGGAACCTGCGGCCCAACCGCCTGCTCACCAAGGTGGCAGAGATGGCGCGGCAGCATCCCAGCCTGCAGAAGAGCGACCTGTGCAGGGAGCACCAGGAGCCCCTCAAGCTCTTCTGCCAGGAGGACCAGAGCCCCATCTGTGTGGTCTGCCGGGAGTCCAGGGAGCACCGGCTACACAGTGTCCTGCCTGTGGAGGAGGCCGTACAGGGGTACAAGGTGGGCCCCATTGGGGTGGGGATAGGGAATCCAGGGGAGAGCTGGGCCCAGGTTGGGGAGGGGAGGGGGTGTTCAGGGGACAGTTAGGCCCAGGTCAGGTGAGAGGAGGGAGCTCCCAGAGGAGTGTCAGGGCCAGATTGGGGGTGGGGGCAACAGGGTGTCCAGGGGACAAGGTGAATTCATACTTTATGGCATAGGGGATGCAACATTTTCCTGTCCTCTTAGAGTGAGGGTGGCCATGAGAATTAAACTGATTTGAGACCGCTGGGCAGCAGAAATGCAATCCATTTTATATACTGTGAGTTTCACGAGACCTGAAAGCCCTCCTGAGGAGAGCTGTCCCCAGGAAGCCTGTTGGGGCAGAACCCTTAATGCCGAGGGTGACTGGGTAGAAGCATCTAGGGAGGGAAGGATTGGTCACCAGGGTTCCCCTGTGCAGATATCTCAGGCTCCATCTTCCTGTCCAGATACAAGAGTGACTTCTGTCCTGGCCTCAAGATGATGTCTTCCATCACTGGTTTTGTTTTTCCTGTTTTAGGAAGAAAAATCCAGGCTCAGAGCCATTATTGCACCTGCTTTTTTTTTTTTCCCTGTGTCTTTGGCTCAAAACAGTCCTCACCCAAGTGGCATATTTTGAGTGGTGTGTTTTGATCCACACCGTTAAGGAGGGTCTCAGATGTATGCAGCCTCAGAGCACAGTTCACACTCTTGGGTGGAAGAGGACGCTGCTGACCCTGAACCCAGTGGTCTTGTGCCTCCCACAGCTGAAGCTGGAGGACGACATGGCTCTCCTCCGGGAGGAGATGACGAGAACAGAGGTGCTGCAGGCCAGGGAGGAGCAGAGCCTGGCCGAGTGGCAGGTGGGTGCCCGGGCCATGGGGGCCCAGAGACTGCTTTATCTTCTGGGTGTCTATGTCCCTTCTCTACTTGTGGGGAGAGGTTGCCAAGGCTGTTTCTGTCAACACCAGCGCCACAGGGGAGGAAAACATTTCCTTGTGCCTTCTAGGTTCCATGGCTATCCCTGGGATGAAACTGACATAAGACAGATGAACAGGGGCAGACGAGCAATTTTGAATTACAGATACATGCATGGGGGGTGGGAAGAAGGGACCTTAAGCAGGAGACTCAAGACCCAGGCACCACCGCCTGAATCCCAGCACTTTGGAGGCTGAGGCAGGAGGACCACAGCCACGGTAAGCTGTGATCACGCCACTGAGCTCCAGCCTGGACAACAGGTCTGACACTCAAGGAGGCTGTCAAATGGTGGAGGCCTCTATGCTATTTCAGGATCCACAAAGGAATAGGGTTTGGGGCTCTGACCAGGGGTGGCAGGTATGGGGGAGGGAGGAGATGCTTGGTGAGTATGCAGGTAGAAGTCTCTCCAGCAATACATTTTTTGGAAGTAGCTTTCTTCCTGGTGTAGATGCCTTGACTACTGGAAATTTCCTTCACAGAAGGGGACACTTATACTTTATTAGGCAGTTAGAGAGAGGTAAGAAGGTTTATCGGTCTCTGCAGGTTCTCAGTGGCCTTCCATTCAACCTAATCCTTATGCCTGTTGAGTCAAAATTACACCAAATATAGCTTAGAACTCAAGTTGGCTTTTGTTTGTGAAAGGGTAAACTGAGGCAAGTTAGCAGGAGTTTTGCGGGAATAATGCAAGATTGCAACCAAGTACAAAGTAGAAGAAAGTAAAGTTTATTATTCACCATTCACAGATGGAAAGGGGGCCGACACTCAGAGGCAAGTGTGGCCTCAAAGTCTGGGGAGCTGAGCATATTTAAAGCTCTTGAAGGGGAGTTTGGGCTGGGAAGAATGCCCAGGGTTTCATTTTTTTTTTGCAGATAACAGCACATAAGTCTTGTGTTATGACATCACCAGGCACTAGTATCTATCTCATGACTCCAGGTGGTGGGCGGGAGGCTGGCTGCAATAAACTGATAATGATACATCAAGGCCAGAAGCACAAATGCCTTGAACAATTTGAGCTGCATGCTTTTTAGTCAGTGACATTTTTGCTTATTCTGAGAGTTCTAGTTCACAAGGCTTGATTAAACATTATATATAAAATTAATACAGAGACATGAAAGCAATTGTCATTTAGAGACTAAGGGAAGAGATACATTTCTGGATGTTAGAAAGTTTTAATAACCCATTTCTTATCTAGTTCTGGCAGAGGCATTTCTAGGGATGGGTAGTTCTTTGTGTGTGACTTCTTGTAAGGGGGCTCAATGAAGATAGTTGTGTTCCCTTCAGTACTAGCAACAATTACTAGATCCAAGGACAGTGAAGGGGAGACAAGGAAAAAAAGTCTACTTTTACATTTACACAGCTTTTACACTTCAGAGGTTCCCTCCTTTCAGTCTGCAACTGGGGAATCAGGCAGCACCCCACCTTTTAGAGTGGGTGTTCCACTGAGCTGAGCAGGTGGGCTTTACAGACAGAGAAGGCTGAAGAAAGCAGAAACAGGACGAAAAGTTGCTTCAAAGTGATGGTCCTTAAGAGTTAACAAAGGGGACCTGCTTGTCCTGCCTGCCCAGGGCAGCCGGGTCCTCTGATGGGTGCTGTTGAAGACAGAAATGAGCAACTAAGCAAGGATCTCAGGCATTCAGATTATCAGATGCATCTGCGACTGTTTCTCCAAAGAGGTTCTGGGTAGGTTTAATATTTATCCGTTTCCATCCAGGGGGCATGCAGAAGACATGAGTGGGCAGTGGTTACATCCTTGTGTGACTTCAGTTCATGCCCAGCAAACCCACGCTTTCCACAAGAAAAAGTGAACATGTGAAGAGAAAAAAGAAAAGGAGTGCGGGGGTCCCGCTCCGCAAGGGTCGTGAGATTTCCTGAAGGAGAGACGGATAGGCAAAAGACGAAAACATTATACTCGGACACCTGCTTCCTGAACAGATGACAATTTAATGTTAG